GCCTTTGCTATCATACATAGACTAGACTTAATAAAAAATGATTCAGCGTCTACTTTAATACCGTGCGACAAAAGTTATTAGAAGATTTATTCACGCTATTTATTAAAACTGTTGACGTTAAAATTGAAAATAAATAACCAGCAAAGTAATCCAGCGGTACTAGTAACAGTAAGGCAAAGATCTTTAAAGTTAGCAAATACGTATTTAGTGTATTTGACACATAGTAGGCTAATTGATCAGATGTATTCGAAATTTTATACGTAAAGAATCTATATAAAATAGGTAAAATTTGGTCTTTGTAGTCTACAGACCATGTAAGAAAAATTTCCAAGGATGATATACCCAACCCATCCCTGATACTGTTTTGAAATGTACTTGTACTTTATTGCTCAATTAAAGAGTTGCAATTGCTTTCTAGAATTTTCATACACGAGTCCTGATAATTAGTACTAAATTAAACAATTCTGATCGGTGCTTCACAAAGAAGTAATTGATGCAATTACAATATGAGCATTTTTAACAAACTATAGCAGCAATTTTCTTATTTCGGTAATCTATCCCACCCTCTGCATTATATCAATAACAGTTTCTTATAGCCAGGGTTCAGTAAGTATCATAGAAATATTATTGGGCACTGTAGTAACCTGCAATAAATCATTAACTGATTGATTCTTGCGATAGTATAATTTCATAAACAATTCTTAGTTTGTTAGATACTAGCCGAAATTGAGAATCGTATTTTGTTTTGAGTACCATGTCACCCAGTACCTCCGAGAGTAGGCATAATTATATCCATTATTGTCACAGTTATGGGAGGTGATATACTTTGGGAGATTATAACAGATCTCATTAAATCTGAAAATTGTTAATTTTTGCAACGATGGACGTTTAAACTTAATAGAATACCCTACTTAATTTGTAGTATTATACTAGAAGACTGTCAAAATTTCAACTCTGCGACAAGAAAAAGTACAGTAAAAGTAAATAAGTAACTATTGACTTAAACGCCATTCTACTAAACGTTAAACACATACAGCGAAGTACTGTAAAGAAAGAAATTATATTAGCATAGACATTTTTACAACTTCTTACCACATATCTGCAACTGTTTACCACATAACTCAATTCAAACATTCCCGTTTATATAGAAACCGTCTAGTTGTAAACAACAGTATTATTATTATACCTTACAGGGAGAGACATCTCGAAATGAGATGTTCCTTACATAGCTTTAATATCAGTAAATATTTTTAATCTCTTACTCAAAATTAATCTTAATCTAAGTTAGTATGCTGACTAACTCAACTATCAATAGCTGGAACTTGAATCATATTACTACTATCTGTCCATAATAACAAATATGTAATAAACTATCACAAATAATATTTACGTTAAGGCATTCCTTATCTTACCTAGCGCTACAACTATGAATGTTTTTCACATTAGCTACTACTGTACTCTTGAAAATATCCTAATGGTGAGGTAACACCGTAACATAGACTTATGTGAAGCATTTCAAGCAGCTTTTTATTAGTTAATTAATATTATAAAGAACTGATGTTTCCAAGATCAAGATGTTCTACCTCTAGTAATTAATTGATTATGACGGGCAATATACTCTTATATATTCTATGATTTGATCATCATACCAAATTAGTTATAAACTTTGAATCTAACTACCTCGCTTACATAGCGATTCTTGATTTAGTTGAGATGAGATGCATATTAAAATCTGATTAAAAGATATTAATTTAGTTCCTTTGTTACTTATGCTAAGACTTTAGCAAACTAATGTGCTCTAAATTTTCATCAAAACTATGATATCATTTAAGTACTATTAATATCTTAACTTGAATTTGAATCCTTTCAATGTCACAGCGATCATATTCTTAACTTCAATTTGGACTTATTAACTGCAATTTAGGTTTAAAAATAAGAAAACATTCATTCCACTATACAGACTAAAATATTAAATAAATTAATTATTACACTGTAATAAATTGACCAATTCTACAAAACAAATCTAAAAATAATATTTATGAAACAAGTGCATTGTCTGGGATCAGTAGCGATATCTAACTTGACGATTAATTCATTCCGATCTCAATTAAAGCAATCTCTACAATGAAAGCACAAATCGTTGGTACTATGTGCGACATACAGTACTCTAGAATCCTATCCCGTTGAGTTTCGTACCGTCAATTATCTTTATCATATTGATAAGGGAATCGTAAGTATTATCAACAATTCTCTGAATTAAACGCCTCTTTATCGTACTTATTGGTATGGCAACTTTTCTGCTATCTGTAAATTTACCTAATAGCGAGTCATTCAGATTTTTTATATCGCTTAAGTCAGATACTTAAATAAATTTTTTACCAGTCACTATTTATTTTGGATATCACTTGGCCAGATCTATTCGTCAAGACAGTTCAATATTCCTATAAGTTATTGAATCAATATAGTTTGCAATTTAATCGTTTAGTTCTTGTAATCTACTTATTTAGATTGGAATAGAGTTAACCTTTAAATTCTATTAGAATAAGTGGCTTAACGCAAAGGCATTTATCTTAAGAGCAATTAATAAATATCTGAGTTGCCGATATACCTAGACTAAAGCAGTTTTTAAGTTGTCATACGATTAAATATAATTAACTGATTGTTAACTTAACGTGCGACTTCATAATAAATGTATAAATCTTTGGTACGCGGTATACTCTAGAATCCAATCTGATCGAGCACAATCAGATACCATTTTATAGTTCTCGTCAGTAATGGATAGCTTGTCAATAATAAATTATTTTCTACCATCTAAAGAAGTTTAGAAAATTTTTCAAAAAGAACTAATTAGGGGTTCAACCATGTTGGCGTGCTGTATCTAATCCACATTACTAACTAACTTGATATTAGATTATTGCTAGGATGAACCATAGAAGCTATACATTTACCTTACTAATTTAAATTAATATATCGCAATGAACAGGCTATCAAATTGGGCTCGCTCGAAGAAATACAGAATTTACTTACTCTCAACCGTTATGATTGCAATAAAATCAACTCGGTAGATGAAGAAAATTTATTTACTTTTATGCATTTTGCTGCAAGATATGATCGATCCGATGCTGTTGGTTGCTTGATCGATTTTGGCGCAGGTAAATTTTCAGATTTTTTAAGGTATTCTAGTATACTATTGTCTTATCTCCAAATTGATCGCCAAAAAAAAGCTTTTTAAAAATTCATACTTTAATCTAATCCTGTACGATCTGATCAATATCATTTTACAAACATTTTTCGTTATTTAGATGTTAACAGTAAGGGGGGCAAAGATGGTATTACTCCTCTTCACATTACTGCCCAGTTTAACGGTACGAGTGCAGCTCAAACCTTAATTCAGTTTGGTGCAATTGTTTCTGCTAATTCTAAAACAAAAGAAAACCCTTTGCATTATTGCTGTAAATACGGAAATGATAAAGTGGCGGAGGTATTACGATATTATAATTACAATTGCTTAACATATGCAATATTAGTTTCTAGCACTTTAATGTAGCTTAGTATGGGGATTGTAGACTAGCTATTAGCAATGTTTAGTACGATATACGGCTGCGTAATTTTCTATATTAACTTGAAGACATATTTAGTACAGTAGCTTATAATCATAAGCTGTAGTGAAACATTCTATGCAAGTAAAGGCGACTATATACGGCAGAGTATCGAGGCAATATTAAAGTTAGAGGTTAAAATAGAACTGTAATTTATATATTTGGATGTGCTTAATTCATCGTACTCTTGACTAGTAGAAATAATACATCTACTTAAATACAGTAGTAGCTTCCATATTGGATTAACGATGATCCACTGTAAAGAGTTGTTACTAATAATAATCTTAATATTTGTAGAATACTGTAGAATGTTGCTATGCTGATTGTAGTTCTGAATGCTACGAAATCTATAGTATATGGCATTTATTTTGCATATTTTATACCGTACTTAAAATTTACTTTTAAAGTTATTTCTCACTTCTTATCCTATCCTGAACCTTTTAAAATTAATTTATTTGGAAATTGTATCTGAACTAGATCATTGTAAGAGAAGCTGAAAGACTTAATATGACTGGAAAGATTGTTAATCAGCCTGATAACGAGTCTCACTGTCCTATCCATCTCGCAGCTTTATATAATAATAATACGAAGATAATTAATATTTTAGTAAGCTTAAAATATGATTTAGCAAATGATTTGTAGCTGACAATACAGTAGGTACAGGTAGTATATCATATGAACGATAATAGCCTTTCATAACCAATATCTCTTTCCATTTGACGTAATTGTCATATTTGTCATGAAGCTAAAGCATGGAGCAAGTATAGTAAAAAAGAACCTTACTGGTCGATTACCTTCTCATTTTGCGGCAGAACATATGGATACGGCTATTTTAGAGTATCTGCTTCAACACGGTAAGCTGGATTTATTCATACATACTGTGAGAAAATATACTACTCATTCATTGCTATTGATCGTGTATAATACAATGAACTCTCCGAAATTTTCATTTATAGCTAAAATTAAAGGTCTCAACGATTATGTAGTAATGTCTAATAGCGACCGAGGTACAGCTCTTCATATTGCCGCCGATGTTGGTTCCGTTGTCGTAAGTATTTATAGCATACCTTTGCCTGTTGTGGCTTAATGCAATGTAGTTATACAGTTAAATTTAAATAAAGTTTTGTACTATTAAAACGACATGTATTTGATCAATTAGGCAGCAGAAATTTGTTTTAAGTACGGTGCGGAGATCGAAGCTCAAACTGTAAATTGAGTTATAATGCAACGTAATTATTTATTTTAGAAGAACTATTTAAAATTTAAATAATTACCTTATACCACTTCCTTCTGCATAAGATAATATTGATAGCTAATTAATGTATGGAATTCATGAGATAAAAATTTCGACTACAGTGATAATGACACCTAAAATTTTGCTTATTGTATCAGTACGAGCTATTAACACCTTTGCACATTGCGGCTAAAAATGGCAACTACGAATTTGCTGAGTATCTTATAAACAAAGGTGCTAAAGTTAGCTCAAAAGATAACGAAGGAAGAACTTGCTTACACTATGCAGCTTTGTGCAATAATATTTCTTTAACTGAACTTATGATTTATCAGGTATATTCATCAATATAATTTCTGCAGCTTATGTTAAATTGTCATACCATCGTAATTCTCGTCAATTTTATCTCAATATTCAGGGAGCAGATATTGAAGCTCGCGATACCACAGGCCAGACACCATTACTTTTAGCTATTGGCAGAGGACATACATCAGTTTTTAAAATATTAGTTGAATTAGGTGCTGATATTACGGCTACAGACTTCGATGGTCGGCACTGCATCCATTACATAATTGAGCAAAATGATATTAGCACCATACAGGCAGTCTTAGAAGTAAGCTTACTACGCCTAGCTTGAACACAATTGACATTAGAAATTAATTACAGATATTATTTTCGTAAATAATATTTCAAAACCGTTGTGGTCCTAAATAGAATGGAGGAAAAGAATTGGTAAATCGCCCTGATAACAAAGGTGTTGTTCCATCGCGCATTGCAGCCATGAAAGGAACCATTGCAGTAAGTTTCATGATAATAAATCTCGATTTTCATACCCTTATAACAGTAAATCGGTTTACTCTTACTAGTCAATTATCCTAAATCTCATATGGCATATATTAAATGTAAACCTTTTAGCTACGCATGATCTAACTATTCGGGTAATAGTCATCACCGCAGCCACAGTCTACACACAGGGCATCGTTGACGTACGTGTGCAATAACTAAATGCTTAAATTCGTTTTCTTAAAACCTTGCAGGCATTATATTATCTACATGAAAACGGTGCCTCTTTGAACTCTTTAGATGAAGAAGGAAATACGCTTTTGCACGTAGCAGCCAAAGGCAATCATCGCGATACCGTAAAATTAATCTTAGAAGCTACCAAAGCAAAAGATGTCAATACTAAAAATACATTTGGCCAAAAGCCTATCCATATTGCCGCTAAATACGGCCATAATCGTGTTATCCAGAATATGATTAGGAATGGTGCTGATATTAATAGCAGGTAAAAAGTTGATGATTAAAGTGATTAATCGATTGATTGATTTTGGCTTATGATTTTGACTGATAACATTTTTAATAGTAGATTTCAGATAACGAAGATTTTTGATAAATTGTTAGAGACAACTATTTCTACTATCCTCTACACTATGCTGCTGAAGGTGGATTCACAGCAGCGATCCAGCTGTTGGTTGATAAGAATGCTAGAATTTGTGTCTTAGATCGTTCCAAAGTAAGTAAATTTTTCATGCTCATCAGCGAAATAGGTCAACTTCAGCAGATACTCAATTTAAATCTTTAAGAATCCTAGTTATACATAGAATAAAATCATTCATTCATTTTAATTTCCTTCTTCGCTGAAAGAGATATCTTACATTTAATTGCAGAAACACAGAATCTGTATATGCGAATAATAATGCAGATTAAGATCTTTATGTTAGTCAATTTTTTTATATGCGTAAGGGAGATAATAATTTAGACAACTTCCCTTACAAGTATGAAATTGATCTAAAATTTTATTTGTCATTACAATATATTTTCTAATTCTTCCAACTTTATATTGTTATTCAAAATAATAATTGAAACTCCTAACAAAATTAGTTTTTAATCCGGTAGAATACAGCCCTTCACTTAGCATCAGCTAATGGACATCAAGAAGTAGTCAAAATATTGTTAGCAAATGGCGCCGACCCAACAGCAATCAACAGCCAGGGTCTAAATTGTTTAGATGTAGCCATCGAAAACGATCAAACAGAAATTGGACTACAAATTATCCGTAGTGAATAGTAAGAATCTAATTTGAAATATAATTCTTTACGGTTAATCTCCTATGTTTGACCTTATCATTTCTGGATTTACTGTAGCTGGTATAGCCAGAATATAGTTATCAAAATATTCATCTCAACATCTTATTTATTAATTCCATTTGTAGTTGGGAAAAAGCTCTAGAAAATAGAGAATTTGATGGACATACGCCAATGAAGAGGCTTATTAAGAAACTTCCTATTGTTGCTAGTGTAAGTATGAATTACGTTATGTTCATTTAATATACACATGAAAAAAGTAATAGCAAAATAATTTCTAGTAAAGTACATCGACATCCATAAAACATAATACCGACAGCAGCACTTTGGATATTTATAGAAATACGGGAGTGCTGTTATATTATAAATTTTTCTGTATGCACTTGCGCTTTGAATATTACGTTGGGATATGTACTAATAATAGCATCATTTACAATCTGAAGATATATCTAGTGATGATAAATTTTAGTTCTTAGCTATAAATCACATTGCAAATCTTAGTAACATCTAACCTATTGTAGGCTGTAATGGACCGATGCATAACGTATACTACTGATATTGGAGATTGCAATGAAGAACAGGTTAGTTAATTGTGTTCTTGGAGCGGCTATCTTCAATGCTAAATGCGTATTAATCCAGATATCTAGATAATTAAATTTGCTTAGCTACAGCTAAATGCTATAGAAAATATCCTTGCAAGGTGTAGTGTAGTCTAGTATTTAAATTATTATCGCAATAGGCCTGAGTTTAATTAACGTAGATCTAATAAATAATTCAAAATCATTTTGCTAATCTGTCTTCAGGTTATCTTTAACTTTAGTTATTTGGAAACTCCGCCATGCCAAATTAGATATAAAAATGTTAAGGATGACTTTTTGGCAGTTTCGGTATGAATATTTAATGAATAGTTATAGGGAACTTACTAGTTAAAGCAATGAATATTTTTGTGATACATTTACTAGATTAATACTCTTTTTCAGACCATTCTCTCCTATAATAGAATAAAATTAATGAAACACCCACTCATTTGGGCTTATCGACACTATAAATGGTATTAGCGATGGGCTATAATCTATTGATACGACCCTTTCTAGAATTATATTCGGTACCTCATCGAAATAAGTTTCCTCTATTGCACTTATGACTGTATGATAATTCATCAATTTAGGAAATCAGTACTGCGATATTTCTATTATGGAGGATGTTTTATCAATCTTGTATTTCTGTTGGCTATTTGTATACCTATTGGCTTGAATATAAGCGATTATTATGAAGCACTACGTAATAAAACTGGAAATAACGCTGTCCTAACAGTAGCAGTAACGCAAGTATATTATTCGGCAGTCTGCTAATCTTCGTCAATAATTTTATTATTTCTTAATGTAATAGATGTGAGTACTAAGATCATCTTTATAATTAAAACTTTATACATTTATAATCTGGTATATGCCTGTGTAATTGGATAAAAACGTTATTCGAATATAATCAGTATTCGGAAGCAATTCATACAAGAAACATCATCACATTTTCTGCGGTGGTATTTAATGTCTTCATTAATTTAATCAGATTACTCCTCACAGTAAGTATATATGAACAATACCCATCCTAAGCGATAGCATTTCTTTACTATTTGACCTTTAAGGATATTTTAATTGCTTGAATTAATACTAAGTATAATACAATTTGCAATAATAATAATAAATGTAAATGACCATTCTACTCATATAACCTTTATTTAAGCCAAGAAAACTTATAGCAGAATTTGCAGCTTCAGCGCTAGAAATTGGAATCGAATTAATATCCCTAGTTTATTGCATCCCATTTCAAAGACCAATAACAAATCTTTTAGTGCAGATTGGAGCACTCATTATGTTTCTTTCCATTATAAACTTTCTAGTATGGCTGAAAAGGTTAGATATAAATTGGAATTTCGATTTTGTTTAGACAAATTTAATCTTTATCACGGGTTAATTCTTAAGTTTTTTAAGAAACGAAGAATTTCGTGACTTGTGATTATAAAATTTCACTCTTAAGGTCATTATTAAGCTTGAATAGTCGTGATCTGCATCATTGCCTTCCATTACTTAATTTATATTGATAATATAGTAGTAAACTATAACCAATCTTTTAAAAATATGCCGATATTTGTAACAACTAAAAGAAACGTATAACTTTTTTGACAACTCTAATACAGAGCCTTTGGCATCGGAATATATTTAACCATGTTTTTCACCATCATGAAGACAATTATTAGAGCTTCACTAGTTATTATTCTATTTTTAATAGCCTTCGCTACTGCATGCTATATGGTTTTAAGACAACTTGTAAGTAGCAGTAAAATTTCAATATTTTACCATAACATCTTTCATTGAAATTTATTTACTTTTACAGCCAGAGTTCAGCGAATTTGGGTATGCATTTATACGCGTTCTAACCATGATGGTTGGTGATATCAGTTACCGCGAAGTATTCCTGCATTTACATGATACCAATCAATTGCAATACTCTGGTTTAGCTTTGACCATTATCGTCTTATTTGTTGTAGTTATTAATATTGCCTTTGCTAATTTATTGGTAAATGGACATCTAACTCTCTTTTATCATATCCCATTCCATTTTCTATTCTATTATTGAAACAATTTATATTACTGTTGTTAAGGTCGGCTTGGCTGTAGGAGATATAAATGAAGTCAGATCGAATGCCGATATTAGTTTAATTAAAATGGATCTCTCTTACATAAACAATTTCAAAACATGTTATTGGCCAAAACGCTTACAAAAATATGTATATCAACCAGTCTTCATAATACGAAAACATCAGAAGATGAGCCTAAGAGAAAAGGTTGGCGATATTAACTGTTGCACACATCTAGTTTACTACTGTGAAACTTATCATATTTTAGATGACACTTTAAGGTATGGCACATTATATTATTTCTCTAGTTTATTTGGGAACAGCTAACTGCAGGTATTACTCTACAAGCTCCAGCAGAGAATACAGAGGAAATTTGTACAAATATAAGTATATTTCAAGAACTGAGACAGCAACACTTAGAGTAAGTAAAGTCATTGCTTCTGTTACCTCCACAGATACCATGAAAGATGAGCTATACCTTAAATTATTTATCGTAATACACTAAAATATTTTATAAAATCAGATTGTATATTGAACTGCTACCACAATCGCCTGGTAATTAAAATTTTTTCATTGCGATTATAGAATCAAAGATCTCACAGATAAGTTTATTGACTTTCGATCGGATATCTTTTATCATCTAAGTGTAATAAAACGTTTACAAGAAAAAATGAACGCCGAAGATATTTCAAATGTATGAGATCTAAGTACATACAAGTTTAATTGATATCAGCGTACGGACAAGCATTTTTACATGTTTATGTATTTGTAGATTCCTTAAAATTTAAGTTAATCATATTTAGTTTATGCTAAAAATCTTTATTTACTTAATATAGTTACGTCATTTAATATCGATTCTTTTTGTAAAGAGACTAGCATATACTTATATTTCTTTTGTGAGCAAGAAACCATCAAATA